TAGCATAAGTTAGCTCTTGACAGCATCAGAGCCGTAGCCCGTCCAAAGTCCAATCAACATGTCAGGCCTATTTTGGGTAATTAACAAAGAGTGGACGCCGAAGACTGGCAGGAGGAGACGGTCTGCAAATGCATCGCCGATCGAGGCACAACCCTCTACTCCTTACTGGAGTACTCTCATCCACATATGGAGAGAAATTATGCCTTAAAAAAGTGAAGAAACCCAAATCCAAAGAGGAAGTCCTGTGTCAGCCCCTCTTTGGGAACCCGTGTGTGAGGGAACCATGGGATCATCCACTCTCACTTGCAAGAGGCCAGCGATGGCTTTCATGCATCTCTCTCTCTCTCTCTCTCTCTCTCTCTCTCTCTCTCTCTCTCTCTCTCTCTCTCTCTCTCTCTCTCTCTCTCTCTCTCTCTCTCTCTCTCATCGTGTGGGCTGCATGCATGATTCTGTTGTCTTGGTCTGCTACTGTGTGCTGGATGAAAAAGAATGCCGGGCACATACAGTATCGCTCGTCTGTTTGTCCATCCATCAACTTGTCAGTTCGTCTGTCTCTGCTGGGACTGCTGGACTGTCTGCCTGCCTCTGGGTTTGTCGTTATGACTTTCTGTCCGTCGGCCAGTCTCATGTCTGTTATCATGTAAGCTTTGGTGTTATGATATGTGGACCTTTTTGTGCTTTCCATATGCTACTCTATTGAATGAATGTCATGGTATGTGGGTTGGGTGCATTATAGATCAGGCTGAGCGTCATCCTATACTCACTAATATGAACTACGTCGGCTTGGGTGTGATACTGCCTTGACAACTATGTGCTTCGGATGTCTTAACTGTCGTACTATGCAGATTCTAAAGGAGGAGATATGCACGAGAGAGGGAGCTTGGGAGGAAAAGGTATCACAAGGAGGAACAGCTGTCGGAGGTGTGTGTGAACAAAAAGAAATTAAAACTCTGTGCACAGCACGCAGTTGTTGCCCACCAGCTCCTCCACATCAGCGTGGTCCTGAATGGAGTGCTTGAGATCCCT